GGGGTGGGGGTGGGGACTGAGGCGAAGCCCTTGACGTCACGGACGGGGCGTGTCTGATGCAAACCAGGCAATGTGGAGGTGCGGTTCTGCGCGTTAGAATTCGCGGGGCTGAGGAGGTAGCAGCGCTGTTGCTTCCACCGTATTCGGAAGCGTCGTGTGGAGGGTGAGGATGCTTGCGACAGGAGTGGGTGCCGAGGGTGTTGGGGTGCGCCTAGGCGAGTGAGCCTGTGTGTCCGGTGGAAGGCGGGTGAGACTGGTGTGGGGCGGAGGCGGAGCGAGTCACACTTACCCCGCAGGGGAGACGCCGGGATCAAGCAGGTGGTTTTCCCACGCGAGGCGGGTCCATCGCACCGCGGACGTGCTGACCCCCGCGATTTCCCCGAGTGTGGACAACTCGATTGCATAATTTGTGGTAGTGGGGCTGCGTTCCCGCTCTCCCCTGGTGGCGGCCAATAAAAGATTTTGTTTGCTTTCTCCTTTTTTTTTCTTCTTTTTCCTTGTCTTCGGGCGACTTCCAAGTTCACCCCAGCGACAGGCGACACCAGGACACTGAAGAAAATACCGCCGCTTTTCAGGGTTGCTTACGTGCAAAGCTACAATTCGCTGTTTCTCATCTAAAACGCACAGGACAGTTTCTGTCCGCAGGTCGTACATCCTGCCTTGGCTGTGGGGTTTTTCTGGCGTTTTTCGTGGAGCGGTGCGCGGACTGCTCCCCAAGGCCCAGTGCCCTTCAGTATCTCTGCTTCTACTTCGATACGTGGATTGCAGTCCATGATCCGGCAAAGTTCTTTCTTTCACTCCCCACGGAACACAGGTCAGCGTCCCTTCTCCTTCCTCCCTCCCCTCCCCACCTATCCCCCCAGGCACCCTGCAAAGCCTCACCCAATCCCCAGACTCCATATCCTTGATTAGGCCACTTGGTAGCCTACCTAGTTCAGCCTTGCTCCAGAGGACCCTTCTGAGACTAGAGACGGTCCAGCTTGATGTACTGATATTTATTGTAAGTTTATTTGTTGAAGTAATCTCTATACCCAAAGTAGGGATCAGGCTCAGGAAACCAGATGGAGACTCCCATGAACTCCCCACTGAGCCAGCCAGGCACCCCCTGACAGATATTTAAAGAGGCACCTCTGTCTACTCGCAAAGGATCCGATGGGTTTGGCACCACAGACCTTTCCCAAACAGCAGGTTAGCTGTTGGACAAGGGGCCGTGGGCCTTCTGCAGGTCTCGGGCTCAAGCAAAAACTATCCTACTGCTGTACCTGCATTGCTTTGTCAATCCGAGCTTGAAGGGGTTTCTGGCTTCAGGCTTTCACCAGAGCTGGTGTTTTTTCTCTACTCCCTAAAGGCCTCTATTCAGAATCTACAACTGACCGTTTTCCAACTTTGATTTTCACTTAGGGGAGCCACACCAATTGGGACTCAGCAACTGGTTTACTCTTCTGCCAGAAACAATTAAACAAAACAGCAAGAGTGCCGCACAAGATGCACGAAGTGGAGATTTCCAAGATCCTGGGCATCAGGCAAAGGGGACAGCCATCCCGGACACATGGCAACACATAGGTGAGCAGAGCCCTAGAGCTGCTCAGAGGTACTGGCTCCAGAGACTTTCTAAGCAAGGCACTGGGGGGAGAGGAACCTGGATAGGAGCCCCGTGCACTCCTGGAACTGAGGACACTGATCTGAGAGACCCCAGGACTGAATTCTGGGGAGGACAGAGCTGTGGAGGGGCCCTGGGGAGGCATGGACAGCAAGTCAGGGGGCAGTCCTTTGCACAGAGACTGCTGTTCACACAGCACAGGGAATAGAGCCTGTGCCCAACAGACTGAGCCAAAGGAACCCTCCTAATTCTCAAGGCATAGGGTGCAGGAATAGGGGGAGGTCTTGCCACAGTACTCAGAACTCATGGTTAGTCCTCCACGGAGCACTGCTCTGGGCCACTGAACTAATCCTTAAAGCAACATCAGAAATGTTTCCAAGTAACTTCAGTGCATCCCTGAACAAAGCTCAATATTATAGAAAACACAAAAATATCCAGCAACCAGCAAGGTAACATTCACAGTGTCTGGCGTTCCATCCAACAGTTTGAGGTATGCAGACAAGGAGGGGAAATGAGCCCTCCTGAAGAGATGGATCACTCATCTGAAAATGACCCACAGCTGATACCAAGGTGTGAATCAGCAGAGAAGGACAAGAAAGTGTTTGTTCTAACTGCATCCCATCAGTTCAAAACATTCAGCAGATACATGGAAAATGTTAAAAAAGAAAGATCCAATCTCACATGAAGAGAGAAAAACCACAATGTCTGAAAGGAAATGTACTGCAAGGGGCTGATGGTGATTAGAGAAGGCAGAAGAGAAACGTTCAATAGGAATCCTTTGGAATCTGCAGATCCTGCTGTTGCCTTCTGAACCACCTTAACCCTTCCAATCTGTGAACACACGATGTCTTTCCACTTGTTGAGGTCTTCCTTAATCTCTTGCAGCAATATTGTGTAGTTTTCAGCGTACAGGTTTTGTGCCTCCTTGATTCAGTTATTCCTAGATACTATTCTGGTGGGTGCTGTTGTACATGGAATTGTTTTCTTAATTTCGTTTTCTGATTGTTCATTGCTAGGGTATAGAAACACCGATTTTGTCTGTCTTGTACCCTGCACCTCTGCCGACTTAGGTTATGGACTCTAGTAGTTGGTGTGTGTGTCTGTGGATGTGGATTTTTCTGTATACAGGAGCATGTCATCTGGAAATACAGATACAAATTGTCCCTTAAACAACCTGGGAGTTAGGGGTATAGATTCCCACAAGTGAAAATCTGTGTATAACTTTTGACTCCCTGAAAACATAACTACTAATACCCTACTGAAGCCTTAGAGATAACAAAAACAGTTGGTTAACACACATTTTGTATGTTATTTGTATTGTATACTTTATTCTTTCGATACAGTGAGTTAGAGTGAAAATGTCATTGAGAAAATCATAAGGAAGAGAAAATGTATTTTCTACATTTGTACTAGACTGTATTTGTAAAAAAAAAATCAACCCATGAGTGGACCCACATTGTTCAGTACAATTCAAACCCATATTGTTCCCCAGTCAACTATAGTTTTATTGCTTCCTTTTCATATGTTTTCCCCTCACCTTCAGGCCTTTTAAAAATTGATTCATAACTGATTCCCATGTGGCATCAGTTTCACGTGGCAACACAGGGATTGGACGACTCTATAAATTATGTTAGGCTGACTACAAGTGTAGCTACCCTCTGTCACCACGCAGAGCTGTTACTGCAACACCGACTACATAATATGAGATCTGTCCTCTAACATTTTTTTTAAATCTTCACTGATTTAAAACATCATTCTGATGTTTTGACAGAGTGTAGGATTCTATGCCCTCCCCTCCCCCCACCACTACCACGGGCCTTCTTTGGACTTTGCCAGAGAGGAGCAGTGACATATAGGAAGTTCCCTATTTTAGGTCACTGCAGCCCCTGATCTTGGGCCATGATGCTCAGCCAGGGCCAGGGAAATATGGATTAGCAGGAACCCTTCTTTGTAAGCCCAGTTCCAATGTGAAGGACCAGAGTGCTCCTTCTAGGCCCCCGCAGGGATGGTTCAGCACCCAGGAGCTGGTCTACATAGAGACGGCCAGAAAAGGGCAGATTCCCCTAAACCCAGCCCAAAGTGTTCCATTTAGACTCAGAAGAAGGTGAATAGCAGCACAGGCTCTTTTCCTATGCTGAGCGGGGGAGGGGAGCCTCAGTGCCAGTGCAAGAAGGAGCATCAAAGGGAACCTTTGGCTGTTACCCTTAAGGTTGGTGGCTAGAGCCCACCCAGGGGACTAAACCTACTTAAGATCCATCCAGATCTTGCCAGCAGCTTCCATGGGTCCTGTAGCCCTCACTTCCTCTAGGAATCTCCAGCCAGCTGGTGCCCCTGTCTTTGCCTGCTTCCCCCTGGTCTCCTTGGGCCACCTGAAGGTCTCTTCCTTTAAGTAGTCTGCCACCTGGTGGATTCCAGGGGAACTGCGGGGGGGCGGAGGCTGAAGGCACAGGCACTGAATCCCTGACTCCAGCTGGGAGGTCAGAAAACAAGCTGTGCAACTGTCGCCTTCTTTCTTTTTTTTAGGTGAAACTGACATACAATAAAGTTCACCCATTGTCAACAATGACAGAGTTGTTCAGCTAGTGCCCTAGTGTGTTTCAGAGGCTTCCTTCACCTTCCCACACTCCCTCCAGGCCCTCTGCAGACAGTCTCCGCTCCCTCCTCCAGCTCCAAGCAGCACTGATCTGCTTTCTGTCTCTGTGCATTGCTCCTTTCTGCACATTTTACATAAGCCGAATGAGACAGTATGTAGTTCTTGGTGACTGGCTTCTTTCACTCAGCATCCTTTTGAGGTTCCTCCATGCTGTAGCTTGGATCAGATTTCTGTGCCTTTTGTTGCCGAATAGATGCCATGGTACAGATAGGCCACATTTGGTTTGTCCATTCACCAGCCGATGCCCTTTGTGTTGCTGTCAGGTTTTTCCTATTGTGAATAACGCTGCCCGGAACAGTTCTGACCGAACGTGAGTGGACATATGTTTTTACTTCTCTCAGATAGATTCCTAGTTGTGGAATGGCTGGGTCCTATGGCAAGCTTGTGCTGAACTCTTAAGAACTCTCAAAGTGGCTTCCTCAGGGGCTCTTACATTTTTCGTTCCCACCAGCAATATAGGAGGGTCCAGTTTCTCCACATCCTCAGCAACACTTGGTATCGTCTTTGGAACATAAACGCACTAGTTGGTGTAAAATGGTACCTGGTTTTCCTTGCATTTCCCTGAGGACAAATAACATCGATTACCTTTTTATGTGCTTATGAACCACTTCTGTGTCTTCTTTGGTAACATGTTTTCCAGTCTTATACTGGCTTTAAAAAGTGTGTTGCTTCTGCCCATTGAGTGAGTTCAAAGTCTTCTTGTCTCTCCTGAATGTGAGTCCTCATTGGGTATTTAATCCACAAATATTTTCTCCTAATCAGTGGCTTCTCTATTCCTTTTCTCAGTGGCAAAGTTTGATGCAAAAAAGTTCTTCATCTTCAGTTTTCTCTTACGTATCGTGCTCTTGCCGTAGTGACTTAGAACTCTTTGCTCACTGTGAATTCCTGACCATTTTCTCCCACGTATTCCTCTTCAACTGTAGTTTTGGCTCTTACCCTTAGATCTGTGACCATTTTGAGTCTATTGCTGTGTAAGGTGTGATTTCCAGTAACAGCTGTCGGGGAGCTTTGTCCTGACAGGTGCAGGAGAACCTGGGGGACACTTGTGTTTCAGAGTTAGTCTCCCCCGGGCTAGGAATGGAGATTTCACCCTGCTGCACCTGTTAGTGAAAGGCTGAGTGCCTTTGGGGAGGGGAGATACATGGGGCTGGGGTCATAGACGGCATGTACTCCCCATTCTCTGGGACTGGGTACAAAGTAGCTCCTGGAGCCCCAGGGCAGTCCTGCTCACAGGAGTCTTTAGAAGCACAAACACACTGAGAGCAGGAGAGGCTAACACAGAAAGGACCCCAGGGATCCCAGGGGATCTGGGTTGGGATCCGAGAGGGTCTTCTGTGGGTGGGTGGGAAAGAGGACTCCCACACATTTGGAACTCAGGAAACATACCCAGAAGGAGTGGAGCAGATTGAAGACATTTCCCAGAGTTTGCACTATTTTTCCAACATGAAAATCATGGTATGTGCCTGCATCAAAGGTGCTGGGGGGACACATGCTGCCTCAGTCGGTAGAGCGTGCAACTCTTCATCTCAAGGTCATGCGTTAGAGCTCCACGTTGCTCATGGAGCCTAGCTGAAATTAAAAAAATAATAATAATAAATAAAAAATACACAGGTGCATGCGTCAGGAATCTGGAATTACTCCCCCTAAGGAAAGGATGGTGCAGCTCCCTTAGTCCTTGCAGATCAAGAGCCATTCTGAGCCTTAGAGAATCCTAAAAGTTGCTTGATATTTCCTCAGATCAACCCAGAGACTCTACACTTTTAGTATTTGTTGGGTTTCCCGTGTATGGTCAGAGGTCCACTGGCAGACACATTTGACACACGGAGTACAGAGTAGACCAAAACACAGAATAGTACCTGGATGCACCACATTAGTCTCTGTCCTCACTGCGGTCTCACTGAAAATGAGAATGGGCAATCGAAATGCCCGGTATTCAACACAGATTAGGAAGAAATGGAAAGTTTGGGTTAACAGTTTAAATTATTGTGTCCCCAGATTGAATCTGATGGCAAGTGGAGACTCTGTTGAACGTGTTCTAGGTTCTGCAGGTGGAAATGAGGGCCTGAGGGACAAAGCAATTTACAACTGAGAGTAACTTTGGTAACTTAGTACCTTCACACTTGACACAGTTTTCTTTCATTTTGTCTGATGCCCTGCTCTCATGTTTGAGTCTAAACATATTTGTACAAGGAAGTTGATATCAATACCAAACCTAAAATCCATACCACTAAATATCACAGTGCTTATTCCTAATGGTACTTTAGGCTCGTTTCTAACTGCCTGTAGTTTCGTTATGACTGACTCTGAAGGCAGCTTAATCTAGCCATGTGTGCACTTCTCTTTGGCCCCACCTCCAGGTTAAGCAGTGCACCTGAGAGGGCTCTATCACTGGGGGAAGGACGTAGGTCAGACAGGTAATAAAGAGAAATGGGGGGACTGGGAGTCAGCAAAAAGAAAGCACAATTATCAGTGCATTGATTCCAGAGAGGACCATTATATTGCTCTTTAAAAAATATTTTATTTACTTCTTTGAGAGAAAGCGATTGGGAGAGCAGAGTGGTGGAGGGAGGGGGAGAGAGAGAGAGAAGCAGACTCACCCCTGAGCAGGGAGCTGGACATGGGGCTTATCCCAGGACCCTGGGATCCTGACCTGAGCCAAAGACTGACACTTAACCAATTGAGCCACCCAGGTGACCCTTAAAATAATTTAAAAAAATTTCTGGAATACTTAACATTCAGCATTACATTAGTTTCAGGTAAGATCGTGGTATTTATTTTTTATTTGTTTTTTTAAAGATTTTATTTATTTATTTATTTATTTATTTAGAGCAGGGATTACGGGCAGAGGGAGAGGGAGAAAGAATCCCAAGGAGATTCTGCATCCAAACGACCCTGAGATCATGACCTGAGCCAAAATCAAGAGTCAGATGCTTATCCGACGTAGCCACCTGGATGCCCCTTGGTATTTCTAAGAATAATATGTTTAGCTTTCTCTCTGAAAGAGGTACTGAGTACTGAGCAAGGCTAAGAGAAACCATGGTAACCATAGAGGCCAAGGTCAGATTGCCCAAAATGTGCCACAATGGCATATTGATTATTTTGAATTGAAGCTATTTGAATAGCAACTGGTGCAAGGACACTCAAACCCTCCTCTGTCTCCCTGAAAGCAGGAAACCCATCTCCCCTATGAAAAAGGCACCCCCTGTACTAAGAAGTAAAAAGACATCCTTCTCACCAAGGCCTTTAAAGCAGAGGGTCTGAATTCTGCATAGAACTCACTCCAAATTAGAGCTCCCAAACGTCCCTCCGAAATGTATTGTCTCCTTGTCTAAAGTGTATAAAAAATGTCTGCCTTAATACTTTCTATTTCTTTAAAGGTCTGAATGTCAATATCAGTTCTTCAAGCATATTCAATATCTCAGGTAAACTTAATTCTTAGTTAAGCTGGAAGTCCTTGAAGGGTAATGGAGGAACTTTTCCTTCCCTGCATATATTTTCGTAGGGTAATTATTGGATTTTTGCTGATTTATAAGCTCTACCTAAACAATGTGGGGAAAAGAAGGGAAACAGTGTTCCTTGCATTTGGTCATTTCCCTTCAGTGGATCTGGCCTGGAAAGAAGAAAGAAAGAAAGGAGAAAGGAAGAAAAAAAAGAAAGAAAGAAAGAAAGAAAGAAGAAAGAAAAAGAAAGAAAGAAAGAAAGAAAAAAAGAAAGAAAGAAAGAAAGAAAGAAAGAAAGAAAGAAAGAAAAAGAAAGAAAGAAAGAAAAAAAGGGGGAAGGAGGGAGGGAAGAAAGTGTCCTGCTCAATTTTCCTTGTAAACATCTCGTGAGGAACCTGTTGGTGAACACCCAAATGGTGGTGAATGTTGGGAGGGCCTGTCCCTGGCATGCTTTCAGGAGGGTGATCTGGTGTGTATAGAACTATTTAGGGAACCAAACTAAGAATCTGTGGATTAATATGGCCTTATTCACTAGAAACGGTCACATCAGCTATGTAAGCATAGCCATGGGAAATCACCCCAAAGAGTTCCACTTTGTGTGGTGACCTCACACATCATTTAGAGACCATGTATGTTTTGCCTGGGTCAGAGCATGTCCTCATGTGGGAATTCGGTTCTTGCAGTTAGTGTTAGTGGTCTCAGTTGCTTTGCTGGGACCTCACAATTTCCCTTTGAAAATGTGAGTAAAACTTGATCCTGGGTAAGACTTATGATTAGTGGGGCCTGATTTGGCAATGCAACCTTTTGCATCATCCTCATATTTGTTGGATGTGCTCTTATGCAATTCTCTGGTCTTTCTTGAAATAGTTGCCATTGGCCAAAATTAAACCAGGATAACCTGTGTACAGAGTGACTGGTGGATGATGGATTCTGTGGCCATTATGGCCAAAATTGTTGCTAAGGTATCTTCCAAAACATATATTGTTCTTTTGCACATGCCCATTTGCAACTCCAAAAGCCCAAAGCCATTTTTCCCTGCTACCCTGGGGTCCTTGTCATCAATTCCCCAGAAGTTCAGGATTATAACAGCTCTCATTATCTTCTTTAAGATTTTACTTACTTATTTGACAGAGACACAGAGAGAGAACACAAGCAGGGGGAGCAGCAGAGGGTGGGGAAGAAGCAGGCTTCCTACCGAGCAGGGAACCCAATGTGGGGCTGGATCCCAGGACTCTGGGATCATGACCTGAGCTGGGGGAAGATGCTTAACCGACTGAGGCACCCAGGTGCCCCAACAGCTCTTATTAAATCCCAAACCCCGTCTATCTTGTTTTTGTTTTATACAGTATTGTTTTGTGTATATTGTGTATATTGTTTTATATCACTATTTGTTTTATACAATTTCCCATAGTTAGGAAGACAGCAGGGATAAGAAAAGATGAAGTATAGGGAGCAATCTTACCTTGAAAAACTATGTCATTTTTGAGAAATCTGCCACCACACACGAGTGAAAAATTGAACCCTGAGACCTAGCATAACCTTAGCTGACGGTAATTCCCTTAAGCTAAATCAAGAGGAACACACTTCCCATGAAGCAAGTTGGGGTTTTTATTCCTTGCGGTCAGAAAGAACACACCCCATGTTCTCAGGAAGAGGGTGTTAGAAAGAACCTATTGTAGATAGGAAATGCCCTTCACAGTGTCCTTCATGTGACAAGGGCTAGGGAACATCACGTGAAGGTGAGGAACAGATGTTTACTGTGGTTATTGGATTTTTGTGTTTTTTTTTTCTACATCCAACATCACCAAATAATTTATTTGGAATCAGAATTCAAAAGAACATTTGACAGTTGAGAACTGTTTATTCTGATCCAGTTGTACAACTAATCTAGGTGAAATTTCCAAATAAATTTTACATGGGTTTTCCAGGACTGGGGCTTCTCGATGACTTCAAATTTAGGATTTTCAAATGTGAAGTCCAGGAACGTATTCATGTCTGTTTTACCATATGTTTGCTTAAGCTTCAAAAGCTCCCTCCCTAGGTCTTGCTGGTGCTCTGGGCCAGTATCAAAGGGTCCTCCAGATGCCCGTAGCTTAGTTCTGTATTCTCTAATCTTGTCCACGATGAGTTTCTGTACAGGACCAAGTTCTTTATTAAATGCCACAGCGGTGAATGCAAGCTGGTACAACCCCTCTGGAAAACAGTATGGAGGTTCCTCAAACAGTTGAAAATAGAGCTACCATATGACCCAGCAATTGCACTACTGGGTATTTACCACAAAGATACAAATGTAGGGATCCGAAGGGGTATGTGCACCCCGATGTTTATAGCAGCAATGTTCACAATAGCCAAACTGTGGAAAGAGCCAAGATGTCCATCGACAGATGAATGGATAAAGAAGATGTGGTATATATACACAATGGAATATTTGCAGCCATCAAAAGGAATGAGATCTTGCCATTTGCAATGACGTGGATGGAACTGGAGGGTGTTATGCTGAGTGAAATAAGTCAATCAGAGAAAGACATGTATCATATGACCTCGCTGATATGAGGAATTCTTAATCTCAGGAAACAAACTGAGTGTTTCTGGAGTGGTGGAGGGTGGGAGGGATGGGGTGGCTGGGTGATAGACATTGGGGAGGGTATGTGCTATGGTGAGCGCTGTGAATTGTGCAAGACTGTTGAATCACAGATCTGTACTTCTGAAACAAATAATGCAACATATGTTAAGAAAAAAGAAAAAGAAGAAGATAACAGGAGGGGAAGAATGAAGGGGAGTAAGTCAGAAGGGGAGAAGAACCATGAGAGACGATGTACTCTGAAAAACAAACTGAGGGTTCTACAGGGGAGGAGGGTTGCGGGATGGGTTAGCCTCGTGATGGGTATTAAAGAGGGCACATTCTGTGTGGAGCACTGGGTGTTATGCACAAACAATGAATCATGGAACACTACATCAAAAACTAATGATGTAATGTATGGTGATTAACATAACAATAAAAATTATTAAAAAGAAACCTAATGATGTAACGTATGGTGATTAACATAACAATAAAAAATTAAAAAAAAATGTCACCACAATAACACCAGTGTTGCTCCTCAAATGAACTGAGACTGCAGACCGAATGAGAGAGGAAAACCTCAAGAGCCTCTGAAGCATCAGGGTAATTCCTACTTGCACTCAGTCCTGAGCTGCCAGAGCTTCCACTGCCTCCACCATTCTACTTCCGGCCGTGGCTCCGCCGCCACCCCACTACCTGCCATCGCAGTGAATTCTGGAATTTTTTTCCTTGATAGAGATTAGCATACGTGTTTCTAAACATTAAAAACCCGGGGAAGTAGAGATAAGCATCTTAACTAGTTCTCTATTGATGCATATTAACAATTAGAAAAGCAGTGGTTTAAAGCAACCAACATGTGTTATCTCGCAGTCCTTTGGCTCAGGAGTTTGGAATGACGAGGGTGGGTTCTCTGCTCACGGAATTGGTCAGTAAGTCGTCCCCACCTGAACAGGTCTGATAGTGACCTTGTAGTGGTTCTCTCTCTGAAGAGGGCCTGCCCTCAGCATCTCACTCCTCTGGGATCCTCTTCCCTGACCTCATTTCTATCTGTCATGATGCTTTCAGCTTACCCATGTGGCTTAGGAGGAAGGCTAGAACTGTGGAGCCCCAGACCTGATCTCCGCTGTCCCTTCTCCAGGAGGTGAATAAATGACAGAGGTCTTCATAAAGAAATGACCCCCATGAGGGCTGACATTCCCCAGCAATTAGAGCAGAGGAGGAAACCTACAGGCAAACAGAGGGCCTAAAAACCCAAATCACGGAAGCAGGACACACATCAAGTAGGAGCCCCTCCCAGAAATGTCCCCATTCTCCATTGAAAGCCACTTTGGGTGAAGGGTGTGAGCACTGGGTCTTTCAGAGTCTCCATCCTCGGCTCTTTGTTTAAAATGGGCTTTTTTCCTGTCATCATCAAGACAGTATGGTACTGGCACAAAAACAGACACATAGATCAATGGAACAGAATCGAGAGCCCAGAAATGGACCCTCAACTCTATGGTCAACTTATTTTTGACAAAGCAGGAAAGAATGTCCAATGGCAAAAAGACAGTCTCTTCAACAAATGGTGTTGGGAAAATTGGACAGCCACATGCAGAAGAATGAAACTGGACCATTTCCTTACACCACACACAAAAATAGACTCCAAATGGTTGAAAGACCTAAACGTGAGACAGGAGTCCATCCAAATCCTAAAGGAGAACACAGGTAGCAACCTTTTCGACCTTAGCCGCAGCAACTTCTTCCTAGAAACATCGCCAAAGGCGCGGGAAGCCAGGGCAAAAACGAACTATTGGGATTTCATCAAGATAAAAAGCTTTTGCACAGCA